GAGTTCGAATTGAATTTACCCTGTAATGAGAAAATGGTTGTTTATATGTTGCTCAACATAACTATCATATGGTTGTCACATGTGCACATGTTGTTTCTTCGAAATGACCTAACTTACAAATCTAGAGGAGTTGGCTCATTTTCTCGATGCGTCTTGGCGCACTTTCCAAAGGCCTTCAAGGCAGGATTAGGCCTGCGATGAATTTGATCCTCCACGGGCCTGCCCTGGGTTTAGGGGGGATGCCAGAAATTTAGCACCACAAAAAATCAGAACTGGTATATCATATTAATTTGTAATATTCTCATTAAAAAACGGAAGGAGCTTTAAAATCAACCTTTTTCTCCTGAAGCAGCATCCTTCTTGCCAGAAACAGCCTGCAATGCTGGCAAAGTACTGGGATGGACTCTCTTGGTTGTTTCACAGTTCTTTCCAGCACCAGGGGGGGGGGGGTTTTCTCCACTGTGAATGAAATCAAACATGTGAACTGACAATGTCCATGAAGATCAAAACATGCTCTTCAAATTGGACTCAGATAGCGGACTTTTATGAATTACTTACGTGATAAGAACAGACTGGTTTCTCTCTGGTCTGTAAGTTTTAAGACAACGGTTCAGCATTGGGACACTTTATTTAAATGTTTGTTATGGTGCTCAGAGATTACAAAGAGGCTGAACTCACCGGACAGCATGTACTGGTAGGCATTTCAGAAATAGGGAGAAGCATTGTTGAGGAGGAGGCTTCACTCCTCTTCTTTCTCGTAGGCGTTGACCACTGGCCTTACATACACTTCGGCAGCCATCTTATAGGGGATTTGGACAGTCCACACAGAACAGCCCTGAGTAAGGTCTTGTGGACAAAGACACATGAAACAAGTCTGTATTTTTTGGGCCTGAAGATGCTCATACAGAGGAGAGATCAGTGTATGGGCTGTCATTATCACGTAGATTCATCCATGCTGCATACGTTCTTTGAGGTTAAACAGCACAGCAGGGTTCATGGAGGGGAGGGGACATCGCCATGTCCTCAATTTTATCAAACTTTGGGCGGCGTTCTGAGGCGTGGATATAACCTCCTTATGGTTAACAGGGTCCTGAAATGATTTACCACAGAGAATATTTCCATTTGAACTGTCATCAAAGCTATAAGTTTGTCACAACCACTTTCCCACTTCCATTAGTCAGTGTAAATATCTGACATACTTACTTTTCCAAACTCAGTTTCAACGGTGACTTTGTCGCCATCTCTGCTGGTGACTTTGGCTTTCACATATTCCACCTCAGGGTCCGGTACAAAACATTGCCTCTTTATATCAAAGGGGCGAGTCTGGGCCTCCAGACGCTCCCTATCGGACTTTCTCAGGAAGGTAGCAGCGGACCCAAACTCTGCCATAAGGGTGTCGCCCATCTTGAAAGCTGTTAACCAAGAACATTGTTTAAAAGCTGCCTGATTAATCTTACATGGTAATTTGTTATAAGTTTATGATGAATGCTATTTACCAGTTTTGTCTTCCTCTCCCCTTTGATAGATTTTATGAGGTTGGTCTCTAAAAGAAGAATAAATAAAAACATATATATTTTTAGTATTTTCAATGTTTGATGTGATAGGCATATGTAAAACGTATGCATACTTACCTGTCGGTGCTGTGTTCCTGTCGTTACTCCTCTTTCTGAACCCCTCTTTATATACATCCAGGAGGCTGAGCTTTGGCACCCTATAAGGGAAAAGCAAGAAAACAAAGGACACTAATCAAAGCAAGATCTGTATTTGGTGATAAAGGAGTGGACAACAATAACTCTCATGTAACCATTGGCCAGTGAATTGAAGCTTATGAGCTGGTCTCAGATCAGCATCTATTTTTGTTTTGTCCTTCAAGTGTCTGAAAAGCCAGTAAATTATATTTAAAAAATGCTGATATATGAAGATGTCTGATGTTATTTTCATTATTTTAAACCACTTACCAACACGTTTGGATTTCTTTTGTAATAATATTATGTTTTTAATTAAATATTAAAATATTATTAATATGTGCTTCATTTGACATTTTAAACATTTTCTTATATTTTGTAACTAAAGACCACTGCACCTCTTGGTCAGTCAATAGTAGTGACTCACTACTAAAATAAGCACTGTCTGGGTGTAAAGACTATACAGACTATAGTATTGTCTGTCTTCTATTATTCTGGAGGACAAAGATAAACTTGTGAATTTTTTACTTGGATTCCTTCTCCTGGTCCTTGTTTGCATCCCAGTGGGCCTCAACTGGCCCACCATCTATAATAAAAGATTGGGTATGACAGCTGCCTGCTTTCAAAGGTTTCAGGTTTCTGTAAATAAATACATTTGGGTCATGCAAACACTTATCACCTCCCCCATGTTCACATTAGTAATGACAACAGATCAATGTTTGTAATAGCTGCCGCGTGTTAACATAAGAGATCCTTAAATCATGTGTTTATTGAGTTGACCACCTGAAGACCTCCTCAAGAAACACATAAGCCCTTTGACTTTAACAACTTCACACTTTGGATTTCACCATGACCTTGTTGGTCTTGACAGTTGGTTGTCTTCACACGGCTTAGCAATCCTTAGCACATCAAAGGGTATTACTGAGTCATACCCAGCTGTCTGGTGTCCTTCTACATTCAACACTTGCAGCGTTATTAGCCTTCTTATATGCAGCAGGATCCCTGGACTGTTTTTCAAGTGGTGTACTTAGACAGATATGGCAGGTAGTTCATGGTCACATTCTGGGTCATATTGTTTCTGCTTTGTGTTGTTTTGAGGTTAATCATCTTTGCAGAGTTTTAAAAGCTATGTTAGATTACAGGTTAATATTCTTCTCATAAATAATTGAAAATTTGGGGCACTCCAGCAATTATAGATAGGTTTGTTTGTTTTGAGGAATACACAGCATCAAAACCTGTGAAAACAGTTGTATTAAGTTTTACATGGCTCTTTAAAGAGCTGTCTGTTATCTCAGATTAGATTAACAGCAGTGATTAAATATGATTAGCAAAAGCCTTTGTTTAAAATGTGTTGCAGAGTTTAAAGGAATAGTTAGATATTTTGGGAAATTCACCCTTTTTCTTTCTTGCTGAGAGTTAAATGAGAAAATCAACATCACTCTTATGTCTGTACTGTATACAATATGAAGCTACTTATTAATAAGCTTATCTTAGCATAAAGTCTAGAAACAGGGTGAAACTTGTAAACTTGTATAGATTAGTCGATGTTTATATGAATAACATGAATCAGTAAGCTAATACAATACTATAATGTATTATATCCATTACCTGCAGTCACAGGTCTGCATTTATATTTCTTCTATTTACAGACTCCTGAGTCCCAGTAAAAATCTGTCAAAAGGTTAGGGTTAGGATTAGGTGTCTTAAAACAAACCACAATGGACATAGAGGAGACCGTTATAGCACATTGTTTCCTTCCTTTTGTCCTTGAGCTCAGAGATAACCACATGACATTCACAGAGCCACTACAAATGCCTTTGGCACACTGGGGCAGATTGCAAAGGCACAGTGACACATTACATCAAACTCGCACACCACTGAGCATACCAAATATGAAGCTGCTTTTATAAAACTACACGGAATCTTAGATGCATCCTACACAGGGATATCACTTTCCTTTGGCAGTGGACAGGTCTGTCCATTATAAAATGTCTGAATTGAGAACTTTGCTTCATTATATTTGGCAGCTATTTTCCACAACTTTTGTTTCTTTTTCCTGTTCTATTGAGAAGATATACCAATGAAAGTAGAGTTTGAACATCATCACAGTTGCAGCTGTTGTTCAACTAGGCCAGTTGGCACTAACTGCTAAACTGTAACTCCACACTCCTTCTTGTTTTCCTGGTATTGTTTCCTTCTATTTACCCTTGAGGACAAAGATAACCCTGTGAAATTGTTTTAGGATTCCTAATGCTAAGCTTAAGAGAAAGCACTGTCATGTGTCCCTGTCAGCAGTGACTTTGCCATTGTGGTTGTGTCTGTTTGTTATGTAAAAAAGTGAAAAGTGGTGTTTCCAGTCTTTAATTGATTTTCTTGTGATATGATTTAGATACTGAAGGCTAATGCAGTATTTGTGAGCTAAGGTCATGATGAAACTGACTGTCAACAACTCTAAAGTCAGCGGTCTTAAATTATTGCTGCTGTTAATTTGCCTTTTGTTCTTAATCTTAATCTACTGTCCTCTTCTGACAGTGTTGGCTAACATAATGTGCCCCTGGAACACATGCGATAATTAAGTTAATTTAATGACTGATAATTAGGGAGCAAAAAGGGGATTTTTACAGCATGATGTACAAGATCAACTTCTTTAAATATGTGGAATCATTTAGGAAGTGAGAAAATTATTTGAATTTGCAAGTGGCTACAGTTAGCACCGGGGTCAAACCAGGTGTTTCTGTACCATCTGAAGTGTAAAGCTGTCTACGCAGTGATAATTTGTCACAGACATAGTTGGA